TCAGAAAGAGCAAGCAAAACTGATGACATTTTTGATAAATAAAAAAAATATATAACATTTTATTGTAAAAAAAAAATATATATATATATATATGAATATAAATAAGTCTATGTCCACAGTTAGCTAAGTAAACGTGTATATGCATGTGTGTGTTTCACTGTATGACGTAACTCACAGTGATCAGCTCAACAGGAATTGGAATAGGGATTTTGCGCGCCGCCAAGGCACTAAGTTCCTTTGCAGCAACCAGACCTATGATGGTTACAATGCTAACTACCAGAGTACCAATATTAGTCTGTCCAAGCAATGCACAAACCTCTATGACTGTCTGGAGAGAGAAAAAAAAATAAAAAAAAATAAAAAATAAATAAATAGAGAAAACAGCATTAAAACATATGTAGCTTGCTGAGTGCAAATCATAACCCCAACCGCTAGGGGCCACTAAACACAAATTACACATAGATGTGTTTATTTGTCTTTTGCATACCAGTTATGGAGAGTCCTTAATTAAGTGTTTGGGACTGTGTGTGTGTTCATACTCACATATATAAGAGACAAAGGTCCACTATACCGCTGTGGATTGATGCCAAATGAATATTTGAGCTGGGAGACGATAACGTGAATGGCGGCCGCTGTTGTATAAGCTCTCACCAATGGCTCTGAGAGATACGTTACCACAAAACCGAACCGAACCAAGCCGAGGAGCAACTACACACACAGACACCACACAAACACTTAGTCACATACACAACTTCAAAACTACATAGCCTACACTTACAAATGAGACTACCTGGAAAATACCAGATAAGAAAGTCACAGTGGCCGCGATCTTGACCCTCTCTGCATCACGGCTGACAATGTCCAAGGTGGTGCTGTTGGTATCATTGCCTGGTATCACGAAGTCTGAGTCTGGAGCCAAGCGCTCTGTCACGCTGCCAATCATAACGCTCATAACTGCATATGTACCTGTAGACAGAGAGATTAGAAAATAGGACTATTTTTGCTACAGTAGGGGCCAAATGTTTAACTGGCTGAGTTAAAAGTAACACAAAATGTGTTGTCCTTAACTAGACACACAGGTGTGTTAAGATATAACACAGGTTGTGTTGTTTTTAACACATCCTTTTTAAGAGTGTAGGTGGATTTAATTTGATAGTTTACTCAATATTATTTTCTCACTCATCCTGTAACAACAAGGTGAGTTGTGAGACAAGGTTGTCAATCACTCAACACAGCTTTATACAAGCATCATAACAGTATACAACTATACTGATCTATATTTCAAGTCATAAAACAGCTTCATTTGCAAAAAGACTGAAATGTATGTCATTATTTGCCCATAATGTTCACTCAACAGCTCTCAAATCAAATATGGCTCCTAAAGCACTGGTTTGAAGCATTGAAATGTCATTAAACTTGTATCATAAGTGCCATATTTGATTCATATGGAAAGTCCACTGATCTGTCATCATTTACTCATCCATATGTCATTCCAAATATGTATGCATTTCTTTCTTATATAGCTCAAGAGTCATGAGACTATTTTGATGATGCTTTTGAACATGAGCACTTTTTGAGCATGAACGGCTGTTGTATAGAAAAGTTTGATATTAATAGATTTTTTTTGTGTTCCATTGAAACAGCATATAGGTTTAGAATGAAATGAAGGTGAGTAAATGATGACAGCATTTTCATTATGCAGTGAACTACGCCTTTAGGAAAAACAGAAATCAAAGGGAGGTGTGTGTACTTACCCACAGATATGTGTTTAGATGTTCCAAATATGAAGTAGATGAGAATGGGGTAGAATGAGGAATACAGACCAAAAACAGGAGGGACCGCAGCCAGCAAAGCATATGCCATACCTAGACACACAAAACACACTGCATGTTACATGTGTGTGTTTGTTTGTGTTTATGTTTAGTCTTAAGCAAAAAATGTGCTTTGGTAATACAGGTGTGCATGTGCTTGTGTTGGACCTTGCGGCAGGTGCATGATTCCCACACTGATTCCTGATATTAGATCTCCAATAGCGTTTTCTCGAAATGGGTATCGTGGCAGCCAAGCCAGGAGAGGAACAAATGATAGGAAACAGCTCTTAAACCTTGGGCCTGTACACCTGATGAACAAAGAAAAAGAGAAAATGATGAAACACAGTGAAGAACAAGATAACTGCCTTAATAATTAATGCTACATTTTTTTAAAGCCTGAGACTTCTCTGAGATGTTGTTGCATCCATTAAAGCACAAGATGCTATTTGGATCTTTCTAGATTCATGCTAGACAACATGATCATTAGATTTGACTTACAATTGTGGAGTTCATGTTTTTAAGTTCAAGATAATTGGAGTATGTTTTACAAGAAAATTCTGTTTGTTTTTCTACTATAATTTCACATTTAATTTAGTGTTATTTGCCATTTCTTTGTAATAATTAGTAAAATTTACAAGCCAAAAACAAATTAAATTAGTTTCTTAGTAATATCTTAATTTTTTTAGCTATAGCAACAGTACTGCTTCAATTAAAGCAAAATGAAGGCAAACAAAATACAGATTTTTTTTTTCAATTAACTCTTCTCTTAAACTACGATGCACATACAAATTGTAAAAAATAAACAATAAATTCAAAAAATAAACTCAAAACAAATAAAGGCCACACACCTGACAGCATCCCTGAGTTTTTCTTTTGCTGAAATTTTGAAATCCGATTTCTCAGCGACTTGGTCAACACCAAGCTCATCCAGTACATCTCTCTGAATGTGATATGGCACCCTTTTCCTGAGATCTTTGTCTTTCATCTCTTCTTCCATTTTAAATCTTAAATTTTTCTTCTCACATTCACTGTTCAGATCACATCCAGTGTATAGATGCCAAAATGTATGTCCTCACAGCGAATATTCAATCTTTCATGTCCATGCAAACAGACCCAGAACAATTCTGAAGGATGTTCTCCAGTGATTTGAAGTGAGAGCTCCACAGGTCTGCTGCTCGTGCAGTGAAGCTCTGGACAGCAATGGATTGATTAACGTCCCTGGCCCTGCTCTTCTATCACAGTTTGTGTTAATGTGTATCCTGCCCTTTCTGATACCCGTCTGATCCATTCACACACACTCACTGATAGAATCCTAATGTGTCCATATGAGGAGCAAAGTCCCAAAAAGAGGGGGGGGGGGGGGGGTACTGTTGGAAACTTTCACACTAGAGACCTACACCACCTTATCTCGGCCTGATTAGATAGAAAACATGTTCATTCTGCAAAACCATGTGCTTTTGTATGAGTGAATTGTGAACAGTAGATCTTTGAAATCACATCTCTGCTATAAGGTGTCTGTTTTGATCCAGTGAAGTAGATACATCTTCATCTGAGAATACAGAGACTTGTAAATGAAATTGCAATTATGTCAAGTAATTATGGCTGTTTGTATTTTTAACATAGTATTAGGTAATACTGACAAAACATTCCTTTGGTGAAATTTGGGATGTCCTCAATTGGAGTACCATTTTATTTAACTGAAAAATACCAAAAATGCTTCTGTTTCTGTAGACTTAGTGTCAGTCTGTCATTATGATCAGCTTTATAAAATAGAGGCTTATAGTAGGTCTTCAGTAAACGTGTGAGAGAAAAGAGCTTATTAAACATTAATTTGGCCTCTCCCCAACACCTGCCCAGAGAACAAAGTCTCTTCTAATAACATTTATGGTTCAATTCACTGGCGGTACAAGAACATTTCAGCAATACTGAGTTGGTGCAGATATAATTGTGATTCTGTTCAATTCTGTTGTTTGTGTTGACCAGAGTGTTAATAAGTATTTTCCATACATGTTGTTATTTGTACATATTTTATTTTAGAGTCTTATTTATTTTACTACATATTTTATTTTACAATATCACCCAACCAAATTGGCTGTAACATGAAATGTATTAAGAATCTAGGAGATTTCATATGCACAGACCTGCATTACAATGTTTTGAAGACACTTTATATTTGAGCATTTTTTTAACTATTTCAAACATCCATCTAATCTAAAAGTAGAATAATGATGAAAATTTTGATTTAAATGCAGAACAAATCAACAAGCAAGTAAATAAAAAAGCAAAATACAGAGGTAAAAGCTGACACAAGTCATTGCCATAAGAAAATTCTGACCACAGTGTCAGTTTTTATTTTAACATTCAATAGCCAGGGGTTAAAGGTCCGGACCGGAACAATTGGCTATTACAAAACTTGTTTTTAATAAACATACATAACATGCATAACAAATAAACATACATTTTTTGAAAAAATAAAGCTCAAAAGTGGCAAAACAATTAATTTAAGTGTCAGCATTAGAGGTCGACCGATAAGGGTTTTTCTCTGGTGATTGCCGATAATCAGGGCAGCCGATGGCCGATATACGATGCTGATTTTTTGGCCGATATGTTTGGCCGATTAATTTTTTCCCCCCCTTTATCTCATAAAAGCGAGTTTGAGTAAATGATTATTGCAGGGCACAAGATGGTAATAGTAGTAGTAGTAGTAGCCTAATTCATAGTAATAATACATGGCTCAAAGCATCTTCTCAAAACAATTCTTTGCTTTTTGTTTATGTTTGCTGACAGACAGTGCTTCCCACAGACTTGCAAATGCAAATTGATTCTCTGCCAGCAGGAGGCACTGTTGGAGCGGAGATAGAGCGGTTTCCCCGGTGATTTTGTGACAGGCCGCCACAAATAACTCAATGTAAGTTATGGGAAACACTGGACACTGCTATAAGTCAAATGGCCATAATCTAAGTGATAACAAAAATAAAAAATGACTCATATTAGCGGTGAAATGTCTCCGATTATGTCAAAAGTCATATGCTCACTGGATGTCATGACAACAAATGTGAAGGAAGTTTCAATATCTCGCCTGGGCTTTCATTTCGGACCATCTCCAAAAAGACATTAAAAACTAAACAAATGATTTACAAGTTTAACATGCGTTTATCAAAGTAGGAAATAATTAGTGTTCTTGACATTCGAAATGGAGGCGGGTCCGGACTGAATTCCCTCCGGGTCCAGATCCGGACCAGAGTCCGGAGAAGCACTGCAATAGCCGATAGACAAGCATCTGTTGCCGTCACAGTCTATGGTTGCCGCACATCACCTTAAATCCAGATAAATGCTGCAAATCATTAAATCAAAATTGGAAGTTCTTGCATTCCTTTTCCAATCTTTCTAGAAGTGTCACTTCTGAAGCTCAGTAGTGAGGGATTGTTTGAGGTTTGCAGGTTCATCGTTCAGGCAGGGAGGTCATTAAAGGTCACAGCTCTGTAACATCTGTGCCTGTGTTCTGTAAATAGATGCATAATTGAATCAGAACAGAAAAGGCTATTGAATTGCAGTGAACTCAACACCACACAAACACAAAGCAAAAATAGCGCACGCGCACACACACACACACCTGTAGCCCCTGGAAGTGCAGGATTGCATGATGAACTGAAGGAAAAAATGAAGAAAGAGACAGAAAATCTGGAACAAAACCATGATTCTTCATCTGAGATAGTAAACCATCTAGAGACAAACACACACAAAAATACAGTAAGTAAATGAATACCAGTTCTTGAGGATGAACTATCTCTTTAAATGTCACGTTACATATTAATATAAAACGCTCCAGATCATGACACTATATTTGAGACTGTGGCTGTACGTGTGAGACGCGTAACCTGGACATGAAGCACAGAAAAACAAGGTCTGCGTGTTCTCAAAATCCTGAAGCACCTGTGACACAGAGAGAGTGGTAAGACACGCAAGTTTGCATTTAAACATGATCACGGTGACAAGCAGAATTTAAACTGAGATTTATTGGTTTTGGAGTTAATGAGAGCCAGTAACAGGTCATCTATTTCTGTTCATCCCTGGTAAAATATCAACACCTCTACGTGTGGATACATGTGTTACGTGTGCTCTGTGCCACTAACTGATTTGAATGAGCCTATGGCCACTGAGTCCATGAAGGTGACTCCACTGAGCTCCAGAATAACACAGTGCTGTGCACACTGAGCCCCCTGCTGGTCTGGAGGTTGTACTTCAGGATTCTCATTAATGTCATTACTAATTGTCTGCATATACAAAAACAATAATTAAATTGTACTCAATGAATGGAAAGCAGGGAGCTGTAATATAGGTTGTACCTGTTTGAGTGATGTGAAGGTCTGGTCTGCATTGGCATAGTAAAGTGGATTACAACAGGAAAACACAGTCACTCCAGGGATCTGGTGTGCCTGAACCAACAAATTCAGGGATTTATATTTATATTATATATGTACTAGGAACACATCTACTATCTATGTAATATTAACAAATAATACAATTAATACAATTATCTATAAAATATATAATAATTACATATATGTTAATAAATCAATTAAGCTTTGCCATCACAGGAATAAATTACATTTCAAAATATACTAAAATAGAAAACAGCTATTTTAAATGATCATATTTCACTATAGCTGTATTTTTGATCAAATAAATGCAGCCTTGGTGAACATAAGAGACTTTGGTTAAGCTACTGCTTAAGATGATTAACCACATTTCAAAACATAGCTTAGGCTGGTTTCTAGCTGCATTGTGTGTAAATCTTACCTTTGAGTATTTCTCCAGATCCCTGTAACAGTCTGTGCCAGCAATATGTCCAAGAACAGCAGATCTGGGCCTGAGAAATGTAGAAAGAGGAAGAATAAGATAGGGTGACCATACGTGCCATTTTCCCAGGACGTGCCTGGCCAGGATTTCTAGATTGCCTAAAATATCTAGGTTTTGGCTTTGCTTGCGTGTGCACACCGATCGATGTATGACATCAAAATACCTCGAGAGCATTTTGAAAGCATAAGGAACTGTCTGTATGGTATTTTGATGTCATACATCGATCGGTGTGCACACGCAAGCAAAGCCAAAACCTAGATATTTTAGGCAATATAGAAATCCTGGCCAGGACGCGTCCTGGGAAAATGGCACGTATGGTCACCCTAGAATAAGAGTTAGTATGAGTCGAAAGAGAAATAGAGAGAGAGAGACACTGTAGATAAATATTAGACAATGCAGATGACTCACTGCTGTGTCCTGAAGACGATGGTAAACAGAGAGAAAACAATTGCAATGCCAAGCCCCAGGTCCAGATTAAACACCAAAGCACTGAACAGCGTCACTACCCACACTACCTGCAGTCTCAGTGGGAAACACACACAGGAAACATCCTGGATGAGAGGCCTACCTGGAACTGGATTTTGGGTCAATTGTGTAAGGATGAAATTGCCCCTTACCAGGTCCAAGCGGTCTGTATTCCAAAGTTTAGGCACATCTTTGACTTGTACAAAAACCCCTTGCAGATTCACTAAAATAATGACAGCCAAAACTGTCTGAAACACACAAATGCATTTTATAAAACCACCTTATTATGCTATATCCATATAAAATATACTTTGTTATTGAAGATGGTATAGGGACCTTTGGTAACTGCTGAAAAAGGGGGCCAAACTTTAACAAGATCAAAAGAATGATCAGTGCAGACACCAGAGAAGAAACCTGGGAGAAAGAGAGAGGTAATGTTCATAGAGTAAAAACTGCAGTGCTTGCACACCGAAACATTCATTATTTTGAAAAATAACTGTCTTTTGTGCATGTGGTTTACATTTTATCAGCTTGCTTTATCACTTTTATGATAAGAATGACAAAGATATTAATGACCTGTGCCTTAATAATAGAGTCACATGTGGCATGTTCTTACAGCACAATTCAGTTTCAACCATAACTTAGCTGTTTTATTTGAAATAATTAATACAAATAGTTTTATTTATATATATCTCATAGGCTGTTTTGAATTTCAGTATATACATGTACTTTAAATGTATTGTACATGAAAATATTTGAGTTAAATGTCTTTGCTTCTTGTGGCCACTGCATGAATGACAGTGTAACTATTTTCTGAGAAAACATTCACTGTAATCCTCCCACATGTAAACAGGGATTGAACTGTTATGCATGTACTACATGTTGTGCATATACATGTAACTGTAACATGAGGTTGTTTTACTAACAAAAAATAGCAGGTGTTCACACCTGAGTTTGTCCGCCTGTACTCTCCTGTACTGCGCTGCGAGACATGGAGCCGCTTACTGGAAAGCACTGGAACATCCCGCCTATGGAGTTACACAAACCCATAGCCAACAGCTCCTACAGGGAAGAGAGCCCATTTATGTTCAGATTAGTGCTGTCAAACGGATAATCGCATCCAAAATAGAAGTTTTTGTTTACATAATATATGTGTGTGTGTACTGCATTTAGTATGTATATATAAATACAAACACATGCATTTATGTATTTAAGAAAATGATGTTGTTTATATATTAAATATATTTATATATAATATAAGAATATAAATATATAAATGTATACACATGTTAATATTTTCAAAATATATACTGTATGAGTGTATTTATATATACATAATAAATACACACAGTACACACATATATATCATGTAAACAAAAACTTTTATTTTAGATGCGATTAATCGCAATTAATTGTTTGACAGCACCAGATCAGATGAAGGGAATGCTGCAAAATGGGTATTTATTGAGAACATATTGTTAAAAGTTACAGAAATTGCTTGTTACCTGGTTGCTGTGAAAGGGGTACCCATGTTTATGAGCAAACATCATGCCCAATGAAGCTTGGAAACCATAGCCCACCACTGCCAACGCAAGAGCTGTCAATAACAGCTCCTGAGAGACAGAAAATGATGGAAGGGAGGGAGGTGAGAGACTTAGAGGTAAACAAAGAAAGAATTAGTTTCTAAATACTTCCTGCTAATTGGTATTGTATAGAAAATCCAACACTCTGCTGACCCGGTTGGTATGGGTCCAACAATCTGTATTCCATACTGACCAGACAGATCAAACTGCACTGACGACACAGTGGCAAAGATAATCTACGAACATGAAGAATTTATTACTGTTGCACAGAAATATCTTTAAAATACTGAAACCATGCTTTATAAGTCAGCTAACGCAACAGGCAAAACTAAACTAAATTACATTTTTAAACTACAAAATAAAAATAAAAATTGCTTAAAGAAATTAAATAAAAACATACACAAATAAAACAATAAATACCACAAATGGTAGTTTTTGACCTGCCTGTATTAAATGTAATGCATTACACACTAGACTGAGAAATTTAAACACATAAATAAACGCTAAATAAAAAAATAAAAACCCTTTGCGCACCAGTACCAACTCCCATGGAATGGGAAATCGAGAGCTCCACCGTGAATTCACCATCTTTCCACCAACAAGTATCACCAGGGAGACAAGGGACACTACCAGTGTTGCCAGTAACACTCTGCTGATTCCAGTCACAATGTTTGAAATCATCTGGTGGACACAGATATGTACATTTAACATCTGAGATGAACACAGAGATAAAACACACAGTGCTCATTCTCACCCAGAACACAGCAAAGACGCCTCTGTGTCTGACTATGGAGATGCCCATCAGTAAAGGCAGCTGGTGAACAGTCACATGGACAGCAGCTGCCATAGTGTATCCACTGACCAACGGCTGAGACAACCACCGACACACCCCTCCACAACGCAGCACATACAGCACAATCTATAGGGAGAGAGATTTATACACAAACACACACACACACCAATACAGGATTAATACAGCTTCTGTGTGTTTTACCTGTATCAGTCCACACAGAATGGTCAACTGAGCTGCAAAGGCAACTCTAGCACTTTCAGCCTCAATCTCATCACTCTCTGCTCCGCCGCCTGCCAACACAACATCACCAGCCACCGTACCGACCATGATGGAAAGGACAGAAAAAGTACCTGTGGGTCAGAAAGATCATCAGCCAATCAGATTGAACTGAACGTCAAATAAGGACAAAGCCATTATCATATATTAAATCATGTTTAATTTTTTTTTCTCAGATTTTTAAGTTTTTTGTATTATATATTTTTATTGTATATTTTATTTTATTATATATTTTATACTTCATTTTATTTGAATGATTTCTTTCATTTATTATTTTATATATATTTAATTTTATTATATATTTATTATTTATTATGTATTTTATACTTTATTTGATCTTAGATTTATTTTATGTAATTGTAGATTTAAATTATAATTTATTATATATTTCAGTTTATTTTATAATTTATTTCATTTGAATGATTTATTTAATTTTATATGTATTTCATTTGATTATATATTTTATACTTTATTTTATTTGAGATTTACTGTATAATTGTATATATTATGTATTTTAGACTTCATTTTGTTTTATATTTTATTATATAAAACAAAATGAAGCATTAAATAAATTATATATTTATTCTATACACATACATATATATTGTTAAATATATTTTATACTTTATATATTTTATATTTTATTTATATTTTAATGATTTATTATTACATTTTTACTTGTTTTACATTTTATTTTAATATGTTTACAGTTTGTTATTTCATATATTTTTATTGTATATATTGTAGACTCGGTTATTTCGTTATTTTATTTAATCTTTTTTATTATTTTATATTTAATTACTTTATTTATTGTTATTATATATTTTATTTTATTTTCACTCAAACAACAGTTCATCTGAATTTTTTTTTCATTATTTACAAAAACCCATATATTAATATTTTTCTTGCAAAGTGGAATCGTGTATGTGTGTACAGAATGTATATATACCTGCTGAGAGAGTTTGTTTGTGTACCTACCCACAGAGATGTGTCTGGATGTTCCAAACATGAAGTAGATGAGAACAGGGTAGAAGGAAGAATACAGACCAAACACTGGAGGAACTGCAGCCAACAAAGCATTAGCCATCCCTATGGGAAGCAAAAAGTCAGAAAATTTGTAATTTGTGTGCAGAAGAGTGAGAGCAGTTTTGTACAATAGAATTAGTCATTACATCCACTTTATCTGTCTGGTTTGAATCACAGTGCATTGTGAAGGAAATTATTAGCTGCCAGCTGATAATACAGATATGTAGGTGTCTAAGATGAGAAACAGGATAATGAAAATCATAACCGACCCCTCACATCACAGACTAAAAATCTATTTCGATCGATGTTGACACCTGCATCAACATACATTTTTATATTTTAGAATACAGTTGTCATATAACAGTCTGTAGCTCAAACAACACAGAAGAGGGTGTGCAATTCTTAAACCTTGTGGCAGATGCATGATTCCCACACTGATTCCTGATATCAAATCTCCAATAGCGTTTTTCCTGAGTGAGTACTGTGGCAGCCATGACAAGAGAGGTGCAATAGACAGAAAGCAGCTCTTCAGTCTTGGACCTGAACACCTGAAGCACAACAACAGAGAAATATGGGGGTCGGCATGTACAGGTGCATCTCAATAAATTAGAATGTCGTGGAAAAGTTCATTTATTTCAGTAATTCAACTCAAATTGTGAAACTCGTGTATTAAATAAATTCAATGCACACAGACTGTAGTTTAAGTCTTTGGTTCTTTTAATTGTGATGATTTTGGCTCACATTGAACAAAAACCCACCAATTCACTATCTCAACATGGACAGTGTTTATTTTACGATCACAATTATGCTTCTTAAATAAGCTCCCACACTCACCAGCGCTCCTCCTTCAGCTTTGCCCAAATTGTCCGATGCGCCTTCCACCTGCGCTGTCCCAGGATATCTAGCTGTGCTTCATTCAAACCATAAACGGGATTGGGATTGAAATTCTCACACTCTGAACATCTTTGATTGTCCATCTGTAAAAAAAAAAAAAAAAAAAAAGGAGAAAATGCGGCTTAAACAGGAACAAGTGTATGAAATGATTATGTTTCCCAAATGCGAGGTTGTTGTGACTTGGCTTTGAACTCGGAGCAAACCTTATATTATCTTCTCACAGTAGCTAAACCAATTAAACTGGACATTTATAATTTGATAGAGACAAGAGTCATAATTCACTACAGGCTACTAAAGGGTTATTTATTGTCTCAGATATTCACCAACAACATTTATCGTTGTATCAGAGAAGGAAGTCTGTCATCGTCTTCGCTCTGACCAAAGGTTAGAAGACTTAATCTACCACTCCTGAGAACAGAGATCATATTACACAACATCCCATGAGTGACGGCTTGTACTGAACAGACCTGTGTCTATTTTTACTGTCGCACTTTAATAATGTTCACCAGATAATGACTATGCAATTATGCAACTTTCTTGAAGGAGGCAAGGCTGTTTTATCCATTGAGAAGATGCGCTGCTTTAAAACAAATAATACTAGAAACTGACTTTTGACCCCATGTAGTACAAGCTGAAGCTATAGAAGACATACATCAGTCTATATGCAATGTTTTATTTATATGATTATCTGTACATGAATAGAACTCAACACAAGCAGATGGCAAAACACCACAATGTGTTTTCCACTATTTTTGAAGCCACAAATAAATATAAAGGACATAAATTGTCTAACACACAGTAGTACACAGGTTAAAAAGTATACCAATTACAGCATTTGGTAGGAATGCACTAAATAAAGCATGCAAAACATCCGATCAAAACTAAAGGATTCAGATTCATAAGTGTGAAAAGACATCAGCAGCCAAAACTGGTAACACATCAAAGCTCATCTGCGCCTGTCAGCCCTCTCTGATAGGAGCACATGTGAGGACAGGTGACTGCACAGGTGCATGTGCAATTAAACTGGAAATAAGTTTATCTCATCATCAATTAGTTATCTTACCTTGTGTAGAGAATTCAACAAAATCTGTTTTGTGCGTCCAGAGGAAACCACTTTATTATCCCTGTGCACATGACATAAATAGCTCAACAAAACCGCAGGCCACCTGTGGGACGTTTCTCAGCTGAATTTCTCTCCTTAAATATTTTCATTGCTTTCTGTTGTTTAAAGGTCAGATTTAAAATGTTACATCATATATAATTCATCACAAATGCTGCCTCCATCCTACATAATACACACCATGGTGATTCTCTCCAACTCGGTGTTCCATTGGTTTATATAAGTGTCGACAGTGCTTAAGATCAGAAGGCAAAAAAGGTTGTACATTATCACACCCACACACACTCTAAATATACATTTAACAGCCTTAAAAAAAGTAACAAAAACAACAAACACAAGTTGGGGAATTTCCATTACTTCATTGGTCAGTATATCTAGAAAGATTTTATAACAATGTAAAATGTACGTTATATTTATGTTTTTACATTTTGTAAAAAAAAAAAAAAATGTTTCACTGTTTGCACAAAAATATTAAGCAGAACAACTGTTTTCTACATTTATAATAAATGGTTCTTGAGCACCAAATCAGCATATTAGAATGATTTCTGAAGGAACATGTGACACTGAAGACTGGAGTAATGATGCTGAAAAATCAGTTTTGCAATCACAGGAAAAAAAAGTACATTCTAAAATATATTAAAATCTCTCTCTCTATACATACAGTATCTATCTATCCATCCATCCATCTATCTATCTATCCATAGACAATCTGATGTACATGTGCTTACATTGTTTTTCCACATGATGAATTTCTGCCCTAGATGTGAACTCTCAGTACCAGGTTTTTCCTCAGTACTGAAACTGCCTCAGCAACACAGTAAGATCTCTGAGGCGCTCCGCTCTGCTCCGTGCAGACTGGTGAACCGGCAGCTCAAAAAACGAAAACGTGAAGCTACGAGAAAAGCTCAGATTTGAGACTTGCCTCAGAGGGGGCAAACGGGGAGGTCTAGAGGGGTGTCTTGGTGGGAGCGGCTTGCGTTTTACCCTGGCACTCTGACTATTGTCAGGTTCGGTGTTTGTGATTTGAGGAGGGGGTGGTGGGGGCGGAGGATCTGGTGCTGTGATTGGCTTCGAGTGGACAAGAGGAAGGGGTGAAACTGGAGGGGGAAAACTGGTAAAGGACGACTCGGAGTGGGAGGAGCCTTCCCAGGGTGTAATACTGTCAGGGGCCACAGATGAGATGGGAGGATGGCCGCGTTTCCTCGTTTCGGCCTGAGGAGTGGATAGAGAGGGCCTTGCTAAAAACAGAAGAGATGAAAAATATAATAATCAGACCTGTTTCTGCTATTGATTAAAAAAAACTTTATTTCTCGTGAAAATTAAAGTTATATTTTGTAATTTTGACTACATATCTAAACCGTGTCTATTTCTCGTAATTGCAATGCGACTTTATATTTTATTACTGTGATTTTATTTCCATAACTGCAACTTTATATCTCATAATTGCAACGATTTCTTATAATTGTGATTTAATATCTCACAACTATTTCTTTATTTTGTATTTGCGATTTTATATCTCATAATTGCAGCAATTCGATAAAGGTACAATATAGTGATTCTATATCTTGTATTTGCAAATATTTCTCACAATTGCAACTTTCTTGAATTTGTGACTTTATAAACATAATCAGTTTCCTGTTTTGTTGTAGGAAACAGGATCTCATAAATTTCTAAATCCCCCTGTAATTAACTTTATCTCACACACATGTTCAGTTCCCATTATCCTCTCACCTATCAAGTCACAGTACAAAGACGAATGTTTGGACAATAGCAGTTAATTAATTTAGCACCTCCTAAATTTCTATTGTCTGTTGATGAGCTCAGGTAACATTGTGTAGACAGGAGGAACAAAGATCAATGTAAACACACAGTTTATATGTCACACATTACATTACTTCACATATAATAAGCCCTTAAGTCTGGTTTATGAAAACATCTGATTTCAAGTTAAATCAGCTAATATCTGACAACAACCTCTCATATAACAATGCACTATGGATTCCATATAGACTATAAAAGTACCTGCAGATTTATTTCTTGATGAACCAATCAGAGGGAGTCTATCCTTCGATATCACTGCATTGTCCTGTATAGTGAAACCACACAAATAATTATGACTGTTTAAACAATACATTCTATACTTTTCTGCATATTCACGTGTATATTCAATCTATTTACTGTAATTTTTGCAGAACAGCCCTACCTTATTTTCAGCCTCCTTTTTCTTTTGTTTTTGAGGCATCTTAGGGTTTTTCCTTCCAGATTCATCCTCTTTAAGGGTTTCCCGGAATCGTGACATTTTTTCCCCCAAGATCAGGACACATACGCTGTGACTCATTTCAAACAAAAGACAACATTAGCCTCACAACACACAAATTCACACTTTTACTAATTGCAGGAAAGTTTTTTTTATACTCACATTAATTTTTCATCCTCTTCTTTTTCACATTTTGTCTCCTCTTTACATCACATATTAAGATTAAAAAAAGAATATATTCTCATTCCTTTCACATTCTGCAAACCTTAATGGAGCTTATCTGTCTCTGTTAATATCCGTCTCTCCTTCACGTGCTCTACCCTTCCTCTCTCGATTGCATTCGTTCAGCTGTGGATTAAAGGAGTTGGCCATCGAGCCACTATGATGATGAACAAAAGGGAACTGGAGAAGGGGGTGAAATATTTATACTTAGTTGCACAGCCAAAGCCCCCCAACACACTGTGTACCCTCTCTCTCTCTCTCTCTCTCACTCACCCGCAAACACCTGCTGGACTGTAGCCCAGGAAAACACTGATACATTATACGTTCATGACTCTCTCAAACCATGAGTTACTCACACACATAAACAGCTGCAACAAAATTATTTTTGGTACCATTTAAAAGTTTGGAACACCTCCTCATTCTATATGATTAATATTTTTCACATTATAGAATAATAGTAAAGACATTAAAATAAAAACGAACACAAATTGAACTGTGCATCATTGAACTGTGCCAAATAAAAAAATAATTCTCTCTCTTTATATATACATACAGTATTGAAGTTTACATCTATGCTGGGAACTTCACTATTTGACCCAACTAATTTACTTTATGATTTTCATTAAATTTTTTGTTTTGTAAAGAAATGTATAAATACTGTAGATATATTTGATATATAATTTAGCATTTCAAGCACAAGCCCCAGTGTTATTTTAGTATTATTTACTATGATCATATTTATTAATATTTTAAATTGGCTTTTATTATGATATTATTTAAATTCTAATTTATTTTTAGTAATTAAAAAAACTAAATAAACTTTTGATTGGTTCTGTAGATCTGTATTGACTTTCATTGTTAAGCCTTACTGAAAATAAAAATGTTCTCACAAGGTACTTTACCTGACACAGAAAAATGCTTACATATTAAAAAAAGATCTTTATTTGAAAATCTCAAACTTTACAACTACAAATCTTTAGCATCCTAATTTATAAATCACAAATTAAAGTCAGTGTTTTGTCCTTGAAACATATGGAAATATCACTTTCTTTCTCTCCTCTTCTTTTACCGTCCTGTTAACAGTTTCATGTAGTTCATCCATCTTTCTTTCTGTTAACTGAAACAACTGTAAGCCCTGCCCACAAACAACCACCCAGGGTCCTCCCTCTTGTCCAAACCACGCCCACAACCCAGCTGCATCTGCAATGTGTGAGAACAGCACCTTCAGTGGGCGGAGTCCGTCACTGTTCACACTCCACAAACACAAGCGCTGGTCCGGTGAGGTGGAAACCAGTAGTGTGGGGCTTAGTAAACATAACCCTGTGAGAGGGGAAGAGTGTGCCAAGGGCACTGACCACTGGGCAAGCAGCTGTAGAGACACACCTCCATTTTCTTCCTTTTTCTGATCTATCTTAATATGCATTAGAGACAGCTGTCCATCATCTCCACCACTGGCCAATGAGATAACATTTTCCTCCATTTGCCTCATTTCTCTCCTAGGTGATATGGTAAGTGCATTGACTCCACTTTGATGGAAAGCTATGGAAAAGAACGGGGCTGATGGACCTGAAGCACAGACAGGGTAAATTGTTATTAGCATATACACATTTTAGAGATCCATAACCAGTTTCGACTGTAGGATCTAGGATTGATTCAGTCAGTTTTTATGCTCTTGGGCTTGTAATGAATGAAAAATGATTTTATACATTTTATACAGACACACATACTCCACCTTTAAGTCAAAACAAATACACTGTAATTTTTAAGACCTTAATAACTGTGGTCTCAATGAGATGTTGTTGTATGAAAAACAACTGCAAGATTCTTAAATAAAATAATAATAATAATAAGCATGTTTTTTGGGCACAGGTCTGGAACAATGTAAGTACATAAAGACAGATTTTTTTTTTATTTCTGATTGAACATTCCTTTTTAACATGTATAACTAATGTAAACAAATAACATAAATCATTTAAGTTCTTCTTAACTACAGCATAACAAGCACACAGTTATTCAAACATAAAAAAATTCAGCACGTTATTAAGTGTTTATGCTCTGGTGTATGTATGACTCACCCTGCCAGCTGACACTAGCCTTACTGTTCAAAACTGCTGTTAAATCCCACACAGATATACAACCATCTGTAGTGGCACTGAACAGCAACAAAAGCCTGAGACAGAAAGAGGACAAAGGAAAATAAGTTTAAGAAATTTTTAAATATGGAATAAGTGTTTGATAATTGTATATCATGTCCTTACTTTCTGTCCTGGGTGTCCTCCGGCTTGTAGATGGCGACGCTGAGCACACACCTCTGATGGTAAAAACACTCCCAAAGCATGTCAACACTCCTACTGCTCTCAGTCACACTGAAAAGCCTACAAATGAAAACACACAGTCTCAATACATTAATTATAGAATGTTTAAACATGAAACTCTTTTAAATTCATATGTTCATAATCTTTATCCAAGTTACCTTACTGCACCATCACTACAGCCCAGAGCCAGCAGGACACATTCAGTCCCATTATGCACAACAGCCATAGACATGTACCTGCAAACGTGAGAAAGCATTTGCCCAATAAAATCATAATGTAATCTCTCACAATTACCCCCTGTACACTGTATTGTCCGCCCTCTGGTGGTTAGAAATCTTTAGCTGCAACCAACAATCAAACAACATTGGACCCAATTGATTTTCATCCTATAGGCAAGAAAAAACAACACTGAAACATTTTCCAAATTATCTTCTTCTGTGTTCTACGGAAGAAAGTCATACAGATTTGGAACATCATCAAGGTGAGTAAATGATGACAGAATTGTTCTTTTTGGGTGAACTATCCCTTTAAGCATTATTTGAACTCTAGATCAAAACTTGGAATAGAGAGTATTTTCACATATACATTCACAAACACACACGCACCTTGTCTCTGGATCCATTTTGACAGTCTTGTGTCGGTTCCGCTTCCGTTCCCACTGTTCATCCAATCGATGGCCAGCTATTTGAGTGACCTGACAGACTGGCTGACCCTGCTGCTCATCCAAACGAATCAAGAGCTGGTAACACTGCAGCTGGGCCCGGCCACCCGCAGAAAACACCAAAGAAGAGACAGAGGAGGTATCGTCATCTCCCCCTTTTTCCTTAGTTTCTCTTCTTCTGATTGCAGCCAGCGCACGAACATTTGAGATATGGTCCGTTAGAACTGAAAGCACTTTAACAGTTCCACTCTCTGGACTGATGGCGAGTACACCTACTGTGGTATCCTCCCCTCCGGTAACAAAAACTTCCCAAAATTCAGAAAATTGTCC